TGACCAAATTTCCATATAAATAAATAAAGTGTTGACACGTTCCAAGTGTTCTAAGTGTGGACGCGTGCTGATACAACAACACGCCGCCGCGCGCGAGTGTGTGTGTGTGTGTATATACCTAATCTGTAGGGTGTTCATACGATGCGTAATTAATTACATAACTTTTGGTTAACTTTACTTAAAAGTTTATTAATATTTATGTTATATTAATTTTTATTTTGTCATATATGATCGTCAAATATCACGTCCTCAAATATCGATAGTAATTCACCAGTCACCCTGTATATATAATAAAACACAAAGTATTCTTGAAAGAAAAATCTACTTACTAAAAATGTAATGTTTCACTTTTGCAAAGGCGCTTTTAATTTTATGCTGAATGCCACCACTTTAAAAGTTATTAAAAATTTGTAATGTCACACTACCTTGGGAAGCTTGATATAATATTATGTTTCCGTTGAAGTAAGAGGGGCCCATCTAAAGTGTCTTTCATGACGACATTTTAAACTAAGCTAACAATATAAACGAATAATATGATTGTCATAACAATTTTCCCATTTAAGAATGACTGTATTCTGCCTAATAATACTTTAATAACGTTTATTAAAAAAAAATATAATGTGTTGATTGACAAAAAGAGAATAAAAAGTTTATTTTGGTAATCCATCAATATTTATTAGATACTAGTTTTTGCCCGCGACTTCGTCCGCGTTAGTTTCGTCATTAGCATTATATGTATAGCTGACCGGGCGAACTCTATTCCGTTTTAGAGGCCATTAATAATCAGGTTTCTCCTGTTTCAATCGAACAGAATGATTGACATATTATTTAGTTGTCAAATCTAATGTCAAAAAAAACGTTTGTATGGGAAATAGAAAAGGGCTGTTTTTAGGGTTTTTCCAATTATTCCAATTTTTCTCACCTTTTAAACCTTCCCTGGACTTCCAGGAGTATTTCAAGACTAAAATTAGCCAAATCGGTTCAGCCGTTCTCGAGTTTTAGCGAGACTAAGGAACAGCAATCCATTTTTATATATATAGATAGAAGATAGATTAGTATATGTAGATTAAATGCAAATCGATTTTTCCAATAAATAACTACGAATCAAGTTTTATCGAGATACAATTACTATTTTCGAATATCCTGCACCTCCAGTAGCTACATATTACCAGAATATCCTAGTAGTGCCGACTATGTTATCACAGACAGTCTACATAGTAATCTAACATATCAATAACTCACTTCAAACATCCATCAGATCCGAAATAAATATTCTCCTTCTCCTACCTGGAAATTTCTCAGCTTAAGCCAGGGTCTGCCTTACGTGTTGTAAATAGTTTTGGCTAATTGTTTTTACGACAGACCGCTGACTCATCATATCCGAAATAAATATTCTCCTTCTCCTACCTGGCAATTTCTCAGCTTAAGCCAGGGTCTGCCTTACGTGTTGTAAATAGTTTTGGCTAATTGTTTTTACGACAGACCGCTGACTCATCATATCCGAAATAAATATTATAAAATAAATAAACGTAGAATTTCATAAGTTGTAGGTTAAATGAGTTTTATTCTTAATTTTTTAGTTTATCTTTTTATTTTATAACGGCAACGGCGGCTTGGTGTCATAAACAGTATTCTATGTATAGATGTTTTGACCTTACATGTTTGCGTAAACTAAGAAAAAATATTTTTAACGGAAATATGTTAGAATGTTATGACATTTTTATTGGTTTCAATATTCTTTCTGAGAGGTTGGCTGGATGATATAAAAACCCAAAAAGTTTTGTTAATGTAATATAGAATAGGAGCACAGGAGACAGTTTTTAACTTCAATATCTTTTAAAAGCTTCAAAATTTTTGTAATTTACTTGTAATTACTTGGATATATTCATGCTATTCTAGAACGATAGAAGTATTTATACTATATTCATCTCTAAAATTGTAAAAAAAAATATTATTACTTTAATTTAAATAGCAAGTTGATCAATACTTATGCCAAGAAAAATGCAATTTTTAAGAAAGGAGCACCCGTTCTAAAGAAGTTAATTATTCTCTTTACAACACTGAGATGAAAACGAACAAAAAGAACGCTTAACTTCCTTCCTTAAAACTCTTAAGTTGGGATGAAAAGGTTCGAGAGTACAACTCGGTTTTAATAAGCAAAGTTTGGAGCAAGTTCAATACTCTAAAATCATTTGTTCACAAATTATAACGCAGTTTGTCTAACAGCATCTGTGACGTACAGAAAACTTTATTGCACACGTTTGAGTAACAAATGCATATTTAAATTTTGTTTCCATTACTATGACGTTGATGTGTTCAAAATTAATCAAACTGTTAAATATACCTAACATAAATCACGACCACAACTGTTTTTGGCGAAATAAAAAACTTAAGTCACTCACAAGTATTAAAACTGATAAAAGTTACCTCGAAATATTTATAATAAAAAAGGGGTTTCGATATAGGAAGATTACTGGTGTTTATAAAAAGCAGTTGAAAATTAAAAAAAAAGACGCGTGGCACTTTTACGTATTGAAAAAGTAGTTTTTTTATTATTTAAAATGAAAATCAAATCTAAAATAAACCAACAAGAAAACAAAATCATAAAAAGTAAACTGTTGAAGTATAATGAAAAATTGCCACTTGGATACGAAAACAACACGCGTTTGAGTGTTGAGTTCTGAATCGTGCTATCAGTATTTTGTAGCTTGCTGACTATATATACGAGTATGTACAAGTGGCAATGCTCATAGCAAGGAAGTGTATTCATAAGTGCGATGTCACTACTGTAATAAGATCACTAGCTTCTCGTTAACAAGGTCTAACAGCATGTGACGTCCGGTCGGGGTATATTTCGACGTTAGGAGTAAGAAATTTCGTTACGGAATTTCTGGATTCGGTCTTCACACTCAAAGCCTGCCATAGAAGCAAATGCAAATAGCTTTTGAAATTAAATAATATTGAAAACTGTACAAAGTATTGCTGAGTGGGCTCTGTAGATTGGAATCAAATTTCAAGCCCCATAAAAACTCTATATGTTACCACTTTGAACATTAAAGCTTTTTTTTTATTTGGTTCCATTAGGAAAATGTGTTTGAATTTCACAATACTTTATAACTAAAAGTAAACAATTCAGTTTCAGTTATTAGACTCTTGATTATTTGAAATATATGTTGCATTGGTAACATAATAATTCCGAGCTATGTTCGCTTATACATATGTATAATGATCTCCATAATGGAGAATAGATGAAGGATGATGAATTTTGTATAAGGACATTTGTGCTTGGTTAATCAGTTCGTGTGACCACTTGTTAAAATAAATATATACAACGTGTAACATAATTAACGCACACCCTGAAAGAAGTTTGTTCAGAATCGGAATCTGGATCGATTGTTATAGGTTTTTAAGTAGGTCATTTTTTTCTCAAATTAAGATAGAACTAAGTAAATTACAGTCATCCTACACACAGTTATCTAAACACTTCATTGAAACGAAAATGGATCGTAACTCAGAGTATTAAGATTTTTAAAATGAAATATTAAATTAGTAATCAATAATCATCATTCAATTAAAGAAAACTGATACTTGTTTCAAGGCTAAAATAGTATTTTACAAATATCTACGCACGCACAGCGATAGCCGGCACACATCAAATACCTACGCACGTGTCCATTGACCTCCTAGATCAGCTGATTTGACGCCACTCGACTTTTTTTGTGGGGCGAATTAAATTGCTAGTTTATAACACAGAGACAACAAGTGCGAAGGAACTAAAAAATAAGATAATAACCGCCTTTGTAATAGTGAAAAGTGACACTGCAGTATTATCTAAAATGAAACCACAATTGCGAAAACGGTCAATAAAGTGCATTGAACAAGGCGGTGGACATTTGAAAATGTATTAAAACGACAACGCTATGCGAGTGCAAATTAAACTGTTAGTTTGTTTATGAATTATGATTTATGATCTTTAAATTACTGTTAATATTTTGATTCACACCATTTAACCACGCCGACTGTGTTTAACTTTGTCGTAGGTATTGTGGTGTCTAATCAAATCACGCGTTATCAGCTGTTTAATAATTCTTATTTACAAATTTTATTTAACAAATCAGTAATTATAAAATATTGGCTTCACATTAAAAAGAAAATTCAATATTGTCAATCTAAAGCCTGAATAGTGTGATGGGAAAAAAGAATCATAAATCATAATGTAGTTATTTCGTGTACCTATTATTATCTACAACTTATTATTGTCGGATCGAACGGCACTCGGAGGGAGGGGCGCGGGCGCGGCGAGTACATTGTGTCTATCTGTGTGTGGGTGTGCAGCGGAGTGTTGGTGAATAGCTGACCATATTATTTGTACAAAATTGGGATAACTAATTTCAGAAATAAACAATGCTAACGCACATATAAATAATGTTTGGGGTATGCATTGCGTTTATATTATTATATTCAAATTGGGGTAATTGAGGGTGTGCGTTAATTATGTTACATGTTGTATAGTAAAAATGCGAAACAAACAAAACTATTGTTAAGATTTGTGTTTGTCAATTTTTTTATTTATTTTGGACGCTTGAAATAAATATTTATAAATAATTGCTTTGCGTAGTTTCAGTTATAAAATATTTAGCGTTGCAGTTTTGTTTCGAGTAAAATATATATATAAATCAACATTTCGATATTCAGAGGGAAAAAACGTTTTTCATTTATTACTAAGGGCACATGGTAATTATTTTACCTGTAACATCTCTCAGAAATAGAAAGAGATTAAAAAATACACTTACAAAAAAGAAATATGAGATAATACTATAATTACTTTTACTGAGCGGAATGAGATCTGGATTACGATCGTCTGGCGAGCACCTCTTCTGGAGACTCACCTTTTGATTCTTCGTTGATTGTACTGTCACTATAAAAAGAAAATAATCATAAGATAAATAACAAATATATAATTGGACTAACTCCATTATTTATATTAATAAATATATATCTTAATTCAAACCTCCGCAGTATTTAGCATTGTGTCGTAATCTTGAAGCAATAAGTGCAAGACATAGTATGACTGCGACTGTAATAGCACCTCCAAGAACACCACCGACAGCCCAGTTGACTTCCCATGCCTCTTGCGCTTCTGAATATAAAATTTTTACATAAAATAAAACTTATCAACAAATCTAGGAAGTAATTAAAATATTAACAAAAGCTAGAGCTAAAATTGTTTCTGATTCTAATATTTAACATACATAATATAAAGAACACATTTATATACATAGAGGAAAGTCATATAAAGTCTGAAAAAAATATATAAACGGAGGACTTAATATAATAAATTAAATAAATACTATTATTTATTTGATTTATTTAGATAATGTTAATGAAGGCTTTGTTTTCAATACTAAATTGAAAACAAAGCTTCCATTAACATTTTTGGCTTTGATAATTTGAGTTTAGTCAGTAGATAATAAAGAAATAAAAATCTTTGATATGGATAATATCACTCGATAGGGTTCAGTTTAGATTAAACATGTAATTATAAAGTAATGAATCCCGTATATAAACCAAACTTTATCACCTTACCACACATAACAATTAACAATTGGAAGTTGTTTGAATAGCAACTTACATAAGTCGATCGACATAATTTATCACAAATGTTGAGGAATAGGAACACTCTTGTAAATTCAAGTAAAGATAAAAAATGTTATAACTTCGGTTTTACAACCAAGTACTAAAGTATTCATAATATAGAATAGCTATTAACAAGGTAATTGGAATGGGCGCCTGTTTATTCATGGTAGTAAACATATACAAACAACTAGTATAACAACTTAATGTCCAAGATGTTCGAGATTATGGATCCAGTTCCCATTAAGGTTAAACGAGGTAATTTATAGAATTGATTTTTCTTCTTCTTTTTTCCATCTTTTAAGGCCTATGTGTCTATAGATTTAACTCTCATCTCTCTTTTGTAATACATATTTACGAATGTTAATTTCTTTGGCTCCAAAAATTATAGACCTAATTTAACATTCGCATATGGTGAAATTACATAAAAGCTTCATTCGCTTTTGAGTATATCGTTTTTATGAAATGTTTTATAAAGGCCGAAAAATAGCTCAACGTTGAATGTGATGGTTTCACTGAAAGTTTTCTTCAATTAAAAAATAGAAGAACATATTTTCAAAAAAGTAAAATGATCAATAATGAATTTAACCTGCAGATTAAACTCAATGTACTTTAAGTTATTTTCTAGAAAACTTAGATTTTTAGAGGAACAAAAATTAGGCTTGCATCATGTTGACGCCTATGTTCTCCAGAGTTGATTTTGCTCAAAAGTTTAACGAAAAATATACAATACAAATGCCACTATGCCAGCCATTAAATAAATTTTGTTTATAGAACGAAACTCAAATCTAAACCAACCAAATATTATATTATAATACAGTTTTGCGAGAAAGCCGATACTTTCGCCTTATGTCTGAAACTCGAAACTTTCATGTCAGACGACCGTATTTTGAACATTCTATGGAAAGGATACTAAGAATAACTCAAATCACAAACTAAATAAATATATGTAAATTTTTCACAATTATTTCTAACAAGATATGCTAAAAAAAATTAATATAAATGTTAGTCAACATGAACTTTTGGAGGTCAACATTTATATAAAAATATCTTTAACATATAAACCAACAATCACTAAGAACAGAATCTCCGAAAGAGCTTTTCTTGTTAATTAACTTCTCATTTTTTAAAATACCACTTATAATAAATAGTCGCTATCGCATATACAGTACAGTTTCGGACGTGTTTAAAATTTGTATTTTAAATGAAATTGTTTTTAAAATATATTAAAAATTCTGTCTAAATTCAGATTATATTTATGGTTTCTAATGATAATATCTGTTGATATAAAAGCAAAAAGTGAGACGATGATAACCCTTTTGAGTCACCGTGCTTTGTAGATTATTATCATATGGACTCAGCGCTGGATGGAGTTGAGTGTGCAAATTATGCAGAGCGCATTCAGTGTAGAGGTTTTGTACTTAGAATGCATGCAGATTATTATGTTTACAGGAATTATTTTTTATTTTCTTTTTACATCCCATCTCTTTAGACGTCATGTAAGTGGCCTTTCTTTTTTAATATTTTTTAACCAACGCAATGTCTACTTACATTTACTGAAATCATTTATTGTTTCGATTGATTAATACAATTGACAGACAAAACTAAAATTTGTTACTGACGCCTGCTATTTCAGGTCGTATTTTACTATAGTGAAATACTTATCATAGACTATTAATGATTCCCACTTAATTACATGCATACTCGCATATTATTTGGTAATTGAACTAATTCAAGTATTTCTCATAACATAATTTATTAAATAACCTTTCAATTATACTTCGGTATTTACTTTTCATATAAAAGTTGTTTAGCTATTTGAACAGAGTATTAGTATTTTAGTATTTTATAGGTGGTAGAGCCTAGCTGTGGTTAAGTTACTACAGCTCGAACATGGGCTGGCTCGACCGGGGAAGTACCACCCTCTCATAGAAGATCGGCGTGAAGTAGTCAGTAATGATTGCGTTTCGTCCGATGAGTGAGAGAGCCGGTTGCCCTTTCCCTTTTCCCAACCTTTCCTTGTATTTCCTTATTCCCACCCTTCCCTATCCTTAAAAAGAAAAGGTTGGCAACGCATCCGCAACAAATATGTTGTGGATGTCCATGGGCGACGGTAATTACCTTCCATCAAGTGGGCCGTCTGTTCGTTTGCCACGTATAACATTAAAAAAAAACAGAGTGGTTTCTCGTCTAGGAGGTACGTTACTGCAAAATTCAGTTACTACGTTAATTTGTGTATTGCCCATAAAGATTATAATTATGATTTATTTCAATTAGATTTGAAAATAAATTATTAAATCTATTATTATCAATAAGCATTGATCTCTTTAGTTACATTTTTTATTTCATTGGGTTTAGCAAGTAGTGCTAATTCACAACGGCTTATTTTCTCTTTATCAATATCAGAAGCAAAGCAGGCAATAGTGTTTGCACTAGTCTGTATCACTTTTAGTTTTTGCAACTTCACAATTCTCATGTGTAGTGATATTGGCTGAAATTTTATTAATAAATTCTCGACGTTAAATATATTTATACAATATTACGTAGATACTCAGAACTAAACCTTTATGTATCACGAGTCTTTTACTGACAACTCCAAGTCCTATAACGAGAAAATGTTGGAAGAAAAGGATCAGTACAACTACCCGCAACATGTGATTTTCTATTGTTAAAGGCAAAATAATATAAAAATAATTACCGGTCCTCACATTTTACATGCTGGAGTGACAATGTGTAAAAAGATACCTACGACAAATAACATAAAAATGGGTCGAAATCCTTAAATTTTTTATTAAATTCATAAGCATGTTTAAATATAAACACGAATACGTATTAGATCTAATTATTTTTATGGTACAAATAACAACTTTTTCATTCCTCATAATCGTAGTGTTGTTTTGATTTGATTAAAGGGTGGAAAATGCATACAAATTACTTTCCACCATAGGGCCGGAATGAATTTCAAAAATACAACTACTGTCAGCGGTGACATTGTATGTAAAAATTTTAAAAAATTGCTGAGGTCATGCGAGTTTCTACATAGCCAGTGTGAACTTACTTAGCGCAACTAGTAGATATTGTATTCTCATCGTCACGAACTTCTTTCAGCGGAATAAGCCGCAACAAATACGATGTGAATTCCATATTCAAAATTATTATACAACGTGTAACATAATTAACGCACACCCTGAAAGTAATTTGTTCAGAATCGGTATCTGGATCGATTTTTATAGTTTTTTTATGTAGGTCATTTTTTTTCTCAAATTTAGATTGAACTAAGTAAATTACAGTCATCCTACGTACGCAACACCAATAGCGACAGTCGGCACACATCAAATACCTACCGCACGTGTCCATTGACCTCCTAGATCAGCTGATTTGACGCGACTCGACTTTTTTTTGTGGGGGCGAATTAAATCGCTAGTTTATAAGACAGAGACAACAAGTGCCGAGGAACTAAAAAATAAGATAATAACCGCCTTTGTAATAGTGAAAAGTAACACTGCAGTATTATCTAAAATAAAACCACAATTGCGGAAACGATCATTAAAGTACATTGAACAAGGCGGTGGATATTTTGAAAATGTTTTAAAACGACAACGCCGTGCGAGTGCAAATTAAACTGTAAGTTTGTTTATGATCTTTAAATTATTGTTAATATTTTGATTCACACCATTTAAACACGCCGACTTTAATAAAATTTATAAAAGTTATATATACATCTAATATTAAAAAAAATAAGATTAAACAATTCTGAAATGTTATTAAGTATTATATAAATTAATCTTATTTATTACTAAAGGATTTATTGCAAAACGTTGCGTAATATAAGAAAACGAGACTCTCAATATGTAGGAACATTTATATTTGTTTTACGACTCAGCAGTTTTCGGTCTATTCTCATAGCTGTCTTCCTGATATAGGACTGAACTAATGTATTAAAGCGTTAAGAGACCCACTAACGCCTTCCGAATTTATTTATTCATTCATAAAAGACTATTCAAATATCACATTACTTTACACATTTTGCAGTGAATAGGTTAAATTTTAATATATTTAATGTATTTGTAAGTGAAATTACATATGTGATTGCATTTTCATCTAAAATCAATAAAGTACGGAAATTGAAACTGGAATTTAAGCTAAATTACTATTTTGATGACTGTAATAACGTTTACTTTAAGCTAGCTGTGATATTTGTGAAGCGTTATTTGTTTTGAACATACACATTTAACTATGAAGGGTTTGAGTTTGTAAAACTTAATGCCATAATATATGTAATTTACAAAAATAAGTCACAAAAAGTTTTGTAAACTGCAATATCAAAATAAATTAATTTCGGAAAGCCACCATTATTGAATTTTCATAAAAAATGCACTGTTAGTATGTACCGTGAATATCGTAATTAATCGCAGGATATCATATTGTATGTGTTAAACAAACTGGTCGAACAATTGGATCAATGAGCCAGATTACATATGTTTATCTTTCCCGTCTTTTAAGCATATTTTAAGAGGTTACAAGAATTAGCAAAAGAACTATAGTACATGTATAACACATAATTATAGAATATATCATCACTGGCAAAAGTATATATATATATGAAAATAAGTATAGGTATTCAAAGTAATAATTTAATATAGCTGTAAAATCATAAACTAAAGTTGTTAATTTCATAATTTCTTTGCATCACAGAAAGAATATAAAATTAAATCTTATTTCCAAGATATTTGAATTTGTTTCTTTTTTCATACAGTTTCTCATTAATATCTTTAAACAAAATATACTAGTATTGTACATTTTTTAATGTAAATGATGTCGTATTATTATCTCAATGTGTGGAAAATGACATATCACTCGACAAAAACACCTTTTGTGTAATTCATTTGTACTGTAAAATTAATACTGATCAAAACAAACATTGCAAATTCAATAAAAGCTTGTAAACATTAAGTAAGTATGATATGTATCTATTACAAGATTAACGTAATGGGTGTACATTATGTTACAGTTGATATTGTCAGGAAAAATATTTCTTCTTACTTATTTTAATAGAATGCAAGTAAAATATCAGAAAAAAATAAGAATCATTTAAAATATACTGCTTACATTGGGATGTATTAGATTTATACAAAAATAACATAAAAGAAACAAAACAGTATTATAAATATAGAAGCCACGTATAGAATCGTAATCGAAAAATTTATTAAAAGTAAATGTCATCGTAAATTAAAAAAGGCAGGATAATAATCTAGTGATTGCTTCTTATTTGAATATGTAAATGCTATTAAAACTCTAATCTAGAATTGAAAACCTTGTATATTAATAGCATAATTAAGAGGCGCTAGCCAATACTATCAAATACGTAAATTTTCAAGAAATTGCATAAAAAATGTTTATAAATTAAATAAAATGTTCAACTTTATGGTTTGGGATCTGTAAAAATTTAATTTGAATGTTGAAATCATTAGTGAGTATCAAAATAAGTATAAGACGGCCACTTGCCCGATAAGATTACATATCCTTGATGGATTGACTGTAAAAATATTTTATTTATAAAGCAAACATTATCGCTATATTTAGAATACAAGATACATATATACATACCTACATATATTATATTGCTATATTTAAAATACAAGAAGATTGTAGTGTATTGACATTGTTATTAACCCTAGAGTGGGCGCGTCTCTTTGCGTAACGTCAGTAGGCGCGTGGGGAGCATTTTGCCGCCTCATTTTCTTTGACTATTTTGACTACTAATATTGCAATTTAATATTTTTTCTTTTAGGATTTAAATAAATAAACAGTAAGTTATAATAAATCAACATATTTATTCAACTTTGTTCTATAAACTTTGGTTTACAAAGGACTTTAGAAAACTTAATATTTTAAATGACTTTTTTTCTCTTAAGCTACATAATACTTTTTAATACTTAAAAAATAAAACAAAAATAACAAAATTATATATTTTCTTAATCTACAGGATACGCTTTATCAAAACAGTCTTCACAAAGACATGTACAATGTTCATAGCACAGTAACTTTTGGCATCTGGAACACCCTTTTTTCGTGGGCCTGTTTTTCTTTGAGGGACATATATTGCATTTGCCCTCCTTTTTCTAAGAAGATGCTTGTTCTACTGGGACAAAGCGAGCAATTTGATTCCTCAAAGAAATATTTAAAGTGCCTATAGAAGTCCTTGTGGTCATATATTGCTTGACAAGTACCATGGCAATTTGTTTCAAATATTCTCGACGTAGCATCAAATGTTGAGTATTGGCTTTGTATACAATTTGACTGTTTATACCGGCACTATTCAACATTAAAAAAATAATCTCATTAGCCATCTGCGAGTCATCCTCCCAACAGAATATTTTTCCTTCATTTAGTCAACCATGTCAACACCACCTTTAGTACTATTATAAAATGTTATCATTTCAGGTTTTGCACATGTCATCATTTCAGGTCAAAGTTGATAATAGCAATACTATTTTCTTTTGCTTTTTATTTGGAACATAAGATAGTAACACTTTCCTGTCGCCAAATCCAAACATTGAAGATGGTTTCGCTCGATCTTTGGTGTTCAAGATTTGGTATCCCACCAAATCTTTTGATCTTCTATTTTATCCATTTTTATTTATTATTATCAATCAATTCTTTGAAATCCTAAAACAAATATATTTTTAGTTGCAAAAGTTATTAATGCACCATAAAATATAGTCAACATTTCGAGTTTGAAAAAATTACATTATACAATATTACTTACGTGAGTGGGCGCGCGGTGAGCGATTTGCCGCCCGGCGACACCTGATAGTAGATAACTTCTTCTCCTGCGGTCCCCCGTGCACTGACGGTGTCCAGATTTAAGGCAAACTTTGCTAATGAGATTGGGAGCAGCTACTAAGAAGCACAAGTCTAAAGGCTAGTTGTTTTAATTATTATTAACGGTTTTTTAGCGCGGGCGGCAAAATGCTCATAGCGCGCCCACTCTAGGGTTAAAAAACTATTTTTTTTTTTCAGTACGGTTTAGATTTTATGAAATACATACATTTCTGTTAAGTTTTAATGTTCAAATTACTAGGGCTTAAGGTACAAATGAATCAGTTTTTAAGCAACCAACACAAAAGATAAACATTATAAAATTTAATCTAAATATCGTTTATACTTATTTAATCCGACTATTTCAATTAACATTTACTCTGTTAAAACATGCTTAAACAAAACACTCAAAATTTCACCGACCATAAGATTGGTTATAAAAACTTATTCCGAGCAAATGCAACCTCAACGATACAAAGCAATGGAGTACAACAAAAGTTTTCATATTTAGATTATATTTGTGGAAAATAGTTTTAAAAAACTTCGTTTTTAGGGTATATACATATTCTATAAGGAAATCAAAGAAATAGTTTGTCTTAAATATCTGAGTATGATTTTCTTAAATTAGAAAACCTCGTAAAAATCCTCCACTGTTTTAAAATTGTCATTGTTAAAAAAATCACCTTGAAAATCAAGCACAATAAGTTTAATAAAATTAAACAAAGCAATTCAACAAGTTTTATGTGCTGTTTCGTGTGTGGTGGCTAAAAAACTATATTGTAAAAATAACTATAAAATGGTAAAAATAAATGACCTACCTGTTCTAGGGAACACTTGGGGGGCAGTTTCTACTGTTAATGTGACATGTTCTGACCTCCCCCTTGTGTTTGTAGCATATACCACAATATTTAAATGTCTGTTAGCGCCAATTCTTCTAAGATTCCAAACTGTAGCAACATTTGTTGAATTTGTTACTAATCCTTCATTTGCCCAGACTTCTGCTACGTAGGTACATTGGAGGCCACCTTCATACCCTACAAGATATAGAAAAATAGAAAATAAAAATAATTTTAATTTGAATTCTAACCTATAAATAATAGAACCTACCCGCAATGCAAGTTAAATCCAGCGAATCATCAGTTAGATTATATACCGAACAGTTAGAGGGTGGGTCAGGTCTAGTTGTAGGCAGTATAGTGTACACGCATGGGAACATTTGTTGCCCGGCAAGGTTTGTTGCACGACACGACAACTTTCCGTAATCCTTGTCAGATACAGGGACGAACGTTAATATTCCAGCTTGGCCATTAACGTTGAAACGATCCTTTGAAAAAGAAAATCCATTTAAAACTTTTCCAGCAAACTAAGAACTTAGCTTAATTGTAAGAGAATGCTTTAGTAATTATGAATGTTTTAATAAATTTCTCAGCAAAGGCCTCTTCTCACATGGAGAAGTTACATACAATTCGTACTTATTAAGTAAATAAAAATACAAGCTAAATGTAATTTCATTGTTTTAATAAAAAGTATAAGTTTTTTTTTTTTTTGTAGCATTTGTACTTTATTTCAAACTTTCTTGTTTGAATGTAACATGTTGAGATTTGTATTTATACGTAAATTTATTATTGATTTACTTACTTCTTTAAGGTAAATATCAGGATATATATAATATTAAATATACTGGGAAAGATTATTTATGTGTATCTTATTTAAATAGGAAAAGTAATCCTTTTCCTCAATATTTTTATAAGCGTAGCATCGGAGTATTCCCAAAGTGAACGCTGTCGCGACTTTAATCGGTATGGGATCAGAATGTATTTCCTTTTTACTAGCTTACTTACTGTCAAAGGGATTCTTTGAACGAAAAGGTGTTTAAATATTATATAATTTATAATATATAATATTATTTGTACGACAAACTTAAACTTATGCTATATCTCTTTAATTTTGAAAGGTTTCTTTATATAACGTAACATTTCTTACATCTTTTAGAAAAATTCTTATAATATCAATATCAAACTGAATATTACGTTAAGTAAATTACGGATATAATGTTATTAAATCTTTTGTAAAGATGAAAGACCTACTTACAGGGTCAATCGTTATAGAGCCTGCAGAATTATTTAGTGTCCACTCAAACGTGTTTGGGGGAGGGAAAGCATCTACCTCGCATTCAACCTTCGTTGGTTCTTGTAAGGCTGCACCTATTATTTTCATATCTTTCGATCGACATATGGGTCTATCTGTATTAAATGTATTATACTTTAATAAAATATACTGATATCTATTATGTTTTTTTCAAAAATATGATTATTTTAAAGTTAAGTGTTTTATTATTGTTTTTGTTTTTTCAAAACAGCAGCTATTTTTCTGTTTATCATTCTATTAACATATATTAAAATCATAAATATGTTATGTAAAGGTTAATTAAAAAACTTACAAATGACTTGCATTCGCACGGAAGGCGACTTCCCGTCTCCTTCGACGTTCGACGCAGTACAAGTATAGTTACCGGCTTGTTGTCGTGATACATTACGTAGTGCGAGGTTCGTATTGCCAGTTACAATCACTCCGTTGGCAGGATTGTGTTGAAGCAGAATACTCTGGTGATTTATTTTAATTGGTATAACATTATAAACTAATAAAGTTATGATACACTTGAAAATACTGTAAAAACATAAGATAGGTATGCTATAAAACAGAGTAATGCGTATTAGTGTCTCATTTAAAAGGAGAGAAAATATTCGTCAAACTTGCCAAAAAAAAATAACTTTTAGAAATATTTTAATGGCACAAATATTTTTTCCGTCGCAATTTTGGGACAAAACTCAATTCGAACGCACAATGAATTGACAATTTAGATATGCAAACAAAGCTGTCGTATCAAAAAATAAAAAAGTTTTAGTTATAAATAGAACGTGTAACTCACAATTCAGACGACACAAAAATGTAGAAAAATGAATAACAAAAATATTCTAAATATTAATATACAGTGTGACTGGTGAATTACTATCGATATTTGAGGACGTGATATTTGACGATCATGTATGACAAAATAAAAATTAATATAACATAAATATTAATAAACTTCTAAGTAAAGTTAACCAAAAGTTATGTAATTAATTACGCATCGTATGAACACCCTACAGATTAGGTATACACACACACTCACACAGACGCGGCGGCGGCGTAGTGTTGTATCAGCACGCCGCCGCACGCGCCCACACTTGGAACACTTGGAACGTGTACACACTTTATTTATTTATACGGAAATTTGGTCAAAAATTAGGTACCTATTTTTTTACATAATTCGAATGAGAATCATGTACCGAGTATTCTCCTTAAATATTGATAGTAATTCACCAGTCACCCTGTATATATCCAAAGCCAAGCCAACGTAGACTTTTTTTCAATTTAAATTTTAGAGGGAAGCAAACAACGTATTAAAGTATAATGGATTGTCTTAAGATGAGGAGCAATATTTAAATATTTTTTTATATCGGTTGTTTTTTTTATTAACAAATACTGGACGTGGAACAGACATATTTTTATATTAAAAAAAACTATTTTTAATTCTGTGTATACAATAACAAGCAACACCTTTATTATGAAATTAAACGCAAACTTTAATTTAAAATGTTTGAGCACTTTAATAAAATTGAAATATTATAAATTATAATGTTAATTAACTTTCGACGTATGTTTAATTTGGTTTAACTCTAGGCAGCTTTTTAGTGAACTCAAAAATATATTGTAATACTTAAAAATATTTTCTACTGATAAAACAAATTAAAAAAAGATCAGAGCTCTAATCAAATATGTCAAGGTTAAACTTTTTTCCTTCCGCCGATTTTTATTTTACGTCATAAAAGAGGAAAATATTTCGTAATATTTTAGAAATTCGAAATAAATTTAAACTCACGTCATGTTCCCACACAACTTTATAAGCAGGCGGATTGGCATCAACTTCACATCCGAAGTACACATCGTCTCCTTCTTCAATATCGTTCGGGTTCATTTTCGCACCAAGATGTATTGTAGCAGTCGGCACATCTATTCAATTATTCATTCTATATTAAACGAAATAGAGTTCTATTCTCGTTGTCACCAACCCTCTCTGCAGTAAATAGGTGTGAAACGATTTCATTGGAGAAACAAAAGAGGTTCATAGTCAGAACATTAATATATACACAGCATACCCATATAGAAATAAAAGAAAACAATTCAGATGATATTGACAGGAACTTGTCTATGCCCCTAGTTAGGTGAATACTATTTCAAGATACGTTACTCTTAATTATTATATAAAAGTATTTATATAAAAAATATTTAAATTTATTCAAATTTTATTAAAAATTTATTAGTGAGCTTTTTTATATTTAGAAATGCAGAACCGGTGGTTACACATAGGAGATTTTTGATTCCCAGTAGCACTAAAATGGCGCACTTCAATTAATGATTTAGTATTATTATTATATCACTGTTAAAATTTAATCTCAATGCGTTCAAACTGACTCTCCCAGATCAGAGTAATTTAGCAAGAAGAAGTAAGGAACTGAAAGCACTTGCTCCATCTGCGGGGAGGCAGTTGGATCTGCTAATGATTTGCTAGTGGAATGTAATATACTCCTGGATGGTGGTTAATACCCGATAGGGTTTTAGAAATCATACGTAAAAGCGTTTAGTCTTTCAAAAGAAATAACCACAAACGAACAATCAATATGTTTTATGAGAGAAGGCACTAGGGCTATCAAATTAAACGTTAAGAGTATAGTAATGGATACGTATGAGACACAATATGGTATACCAGACATATTTCTGTATTCGAGATTAATGTTTGTTTTGAAAGAAACGCAGACGAAATTGTGTGCAAAAACTAGTTTGAAAAAATCTTGAAGAGTACTCACATCACTAGGGGCGTAGACAAGTCTTAGTCAATAACAGCTGATCGTTCTTTTACAAGATTGCCAATTTCTAATGAAATTAACTATATCTTTATATGATTCCCGACTGTTTTTATCAATTGATTGGAGATATTATATATTTCGTTTAACCCTTTTTGGTTCATATAAGCATCATTTATATTGGAAGGTTCTATACATATTTTTAAAATAATTAAAATAAAATATTTTCATAATAACTCGTAATAACGAAAAAAATATACTTTATATCATACAACCACAGTGATGATTATATTTACCACAAATCTATAATACCTCAATACATGTGTATAATAAAAATAACACTTTTAATATTCTTTAAGTATCCCCAAATACAAACAAAAACGAATCCAAAGCAAGAGTACTTACAATAAATATTAAGTAGCAATTTGCTCTCAATCGTTGAACTATTGAATTTGGAATTTTCTGCTTTACATGTGAGTATTTTTCCGTTTTGTTCCTTTGATGGTGTCCATTTCAACAGAGACTGAGTTTCGTTCCTTGCTTCTAAGTCCTATTAAAAAGTGACTTTATAAAATAGTTTTAAATAAAAGAGAAGAATATCAATTAAAAATCGTTATTTTTTAATAAATCTACCTGTTGTTTGGTTATAGATTCAAGTTTTTTGCCACCTAGCCACCAAGTGACAACTGCTGGGGGTATTGCACCGGTTGACTTGCACCAAAGCTCGTCTTGTCTGCCCGCTGACAATGGTTGCTCCCTCGATAAGATTTCGACTGACACTGGCCGCACTGACAAGAAAATGTTTTATGTTAACGGCAATCGCTTTGTGAATAATCTAAATCAGCAATCCCTAAAAATTGCTACTAAGAGTATAAATAGTAATTTATTTGAATCGTGGGCCAAAATTACAAAATTTTAATTATTATTATTGATTTTTTTTTATTTAATAAAAGTTATATTTTTATAATATGATACCAATTAATATTTTTTTAATAACCAAAAGACTTATAATCAATTGAATCAATAAAAAGTGGAGACACATTAAACGTTGCTGAAGCTTCAAAGTAGAAGAAAAAACTAAAAATAACTTAACAAAAAAATGTATTTTACTATTTCACAAAAATTAAAAGTACTAATGTTTCCGCGGTTGCAATTTTCACGCCACACTCACAGATAATGCACCTGCAGTTGTATAATTTTGTCCAAATTAAGCAGCACCCAAAGGAAATACTTGTAGAACAAATGTGTATTTATTTTAAAATTTACAATACTTAAACAGCCTAGCCTTATGTAAGTTTTAAACATCTATAAGTTACATATATGTATATGTAAGCTTTTCGTCAGTAAATATTGATAATGTTTAATTCCTGTTCTGATACGTATGATGTACAAACAGCTCATTTCAAATGAAACAAAAATAGTTGTTGCTTTACCTCTACTATAATATTTTATTCAAAACGGATCGCAGCTTAATCACAGATTACACCTAAAGAACGTGAATATTGAATTCCCTTTTGTTCAAACTTCAAAGTTCTAATTGGATTAATATAAATTCAGGAAAACCTATACTGTCACTGACTACAATTGTTTATTTATTTGGTTTAAGACTGGATTAAACTATAATATAAGAGCGATTTACTCTTGTCCTTTCTAAAGGGGTTCCATTAGCTTTGACGAAACACCTTTTCCATCCCATATTCATTTATTAAAGGACTTTTGCATCCCGAAATTTTCAAATTTCTTTTTCATTTAAACAGGGCTTTTTATACAGTGAAAAATTTCCAAAAAACTTAAAACACGACAAATGCGTTGCAAATATAAAATTTTCTTATTTTTATTTATTTGTGATGAAAAAAATTTCTCCCCAGTTTTAGGAAGTGCAATAAGTATTATTAGAAAGAAAAAAAATTTTAAAGTGCATTAATTACATGTAATATTTTATTTAAAGGTTTTACATCTAAATTCATTTAATAATTAAAGCTTAGAGTTTTTTTTGTGTCTACCGTTATCTACAAAACTTTTCCTTAACTTCATGTAATTTATTTTTCTTACCTTTATGTTTTTATCTGCCTAATGGAGCTTACAATTGTGTACATTTAAAGACACTCAAAGTTTTATTTGGTTCTATTAGATAGCAAATAAAACGTAAATAGGGCTACAATTCAAACATTAATCTTTCTTAGACGTTGTAAATTGGAATTGAAATTGGTGTATAGTGTCTATTTTCTTTATGTCATATGTGAAACTTTATGATCAATAACTCATGATTATATACATATGTATATATACTTACAATACAGATCTACACGCACGGAGGCCTCTTGGGGAGGAGATAGCAGTGTATTATCCGCTGTGCAGGTATAAACAGAGGACACGTGTGCACGGGTTGCGTTTCTAACCAAGAGGGTCAATGACCTGGTGTTACCCACTGGCATCTCACCCGCGCTCAGTGAAGAAACTACAGTTTCACCATGCAACCACTGCACTCTTGGCGTAGGATTGCCTGAATGAATATAAATTATTAGTTAATCAGAATATTGTGATCTAATGTAAAATATAGCTATACTATATATATCTACTACTTCACATATTTTAGTAAACGAAAGAAATAAATTATAAAAATATGTAAATTTATCAAAAATCGTCAATAAAAAAAATCCTTAACAAAAATCTCAGCCTACATGATTGACATATTCCTTATTTCTCAAAGTAACCCTTATACAACTCATCAGTCAAAGGAAAATTTTATTTCCTACCACATCATTCGTAGCAATCTAAAAAAATATTTTGAAAATTACAACTATTATTGTCATCGTATGTATCTATAAGTATAGATAACATAGTCTGGCCATAACTACTGTTACAATTCAAAATAAACAACATATTACATTTGAATTTGAAATCTGTGTTTTGTTATTTTGTCGCCAATACATTGTTCAATATTTTGCGATATTAAAATGGACAAGGGGTGATAAAGAGAACCGAATCGCTGTGATTGCATTAGGGGCCGTCCATAAATTACGTCATAGATTTTTTCAGATTTTAGACCCCTCCGCCCTACAATCATCCTATCGTCATTTCTTAATGACCCCCCCCCCCTTCTCACAAAATTGACGTCATTACCAATTTGACAAAAATTAAAACATTGCAGATTTGAGAACAATAGGGTATTATATGATTAAAACACTTGGTTATAGAATCCTTTACATTATAGTTAAATTTATAGTTTTAAAAAATAATGTAGACATGCCTTGACCTTGTAATAAACAAATAAATAATGAGTCAATAATTAATACCCTTAAAAATATCACAAGAACACTATCTTTCCTTAGTATGAGACATGTATTTAAGTATAAGTATAGTATTTATGTACTTTTATTAATTATGTAATGTTGTAGTTATTATTTAAGTATGTACTGTGTTTATTATCAATACATTGTATAAAATACATCGGTGGGGTGGAGCCAAGTGCGGCTCTCATACATGGAGGCACGACCCAAGCACTGCTTCAAGTGCTTGGGAATGGGGCACGTTGCGGCCGCATGCCCCAGTCCAAAAGACCGCAGCGGCCTGTGCTACCGCTGCGGCAAGGAGGGCCACAAGTCCGCCCAATGCACCGCGTCACCGCGCTGCGCTGTGTGTGCGGACGCGAGTAAGCCGGCGGACCATGTGATGGGGGGCCATTCGTGCCGTCCTCCATCCACCCGTGGGAAACTCCCCGACCAGCCTAAAAGGGCGGGGGTTTCGAGGCAGGCGTCAGGAGCTGAGATGTCCGAATAATGGCCGGACATCTCAGGTTCCTGCAGGCCAACGGCAACCACTGCGCCGGGGCTCAGGATCTTTTCCTGCAGTCCATGGCGGAGTGGGCCGTAGACGTGGCGGTCATAGCGGAGCCGTACTGTGTCCCTGCCCAACCTCATTGGGCGGGAGACGTGGACGGCTTAGTTGCGATCATCACGCGGCCGGGAGCCGGGCCCCCCCTCGCCGTCAAAGCGAGGGGCCACGGGTATGTGGCGGCGGTTCGGGGGGAGATTGCCATCGTCGGGGTATATTTCTCCCCGAATCGCGACCTGCCGGCCTTCGAGAGATTTCTCGACTCTCTCGGGCCGGTGGTAGGGCAGTTAGCGCCTCTTCAGGTGTTTGTGCTGGGGGACCTCAACGCCAAGTCCACGGCGTGGGGAAACCCCCGCACAACACCGAAAGGGAGGGAGCTGGAGGCATGGGCGCTGACTGCCGGACTGTCCCTTCTCAACTCGGGGACGGTCCAGACGTGCGTGCGACGGTTGGGAGGTTCAGTGGTGGACGTCTCGTTCGCCACTCCGACCATCGCACGCAGAGTGGAGGGATGGAGGGTTGAGGCAGGAGTGGAGACGCTTTCGGACCACCGTTACATACGGTTCGAAGTGTCTCCTACTCCTGCCGGTCGCCGGAGTCCAGTGTCGAATTCCTCGTCGCCTCGGGAGAGAAGTCGGTTCCCGCGTTGGGCGCTGTCAAAGCTCAACCGGGAACTGGCTAAAGAAGCGGCCGTCGTCGGTCGCTTCTGTCTCCCGGAGGGTGCGGAGTTAGGGGTGGATGAAGGGGCTAGCCGCTTTGGGGACGTTCTTCAAAACGTCTGCCGAGCGGCGATGCCCCCCGTAGGACGTCCCCCTCCGCGGGGAGCGGTATACTGGTGGTCTGAGAATATCTCAGACCTCCGGGTCGCCTGCAACGGGGCCAGGAGGGCATACACCCGGAGTAGGCGACGCCGCCCCCAGGACGAGGAGCGAGATGGTCGGCTGTACAGGGTCTATGTGAAGAAGAAGTTGATCCTGCAGCAGGCCATCCGCCGGGCCAAGGAGGCAGCCTGGCTGGAGCTGGTGGAGGGTCTCGATCGAGACCCTTGGGGCCGACCGTACAAGCGGGCGCGGAACAAACTCTGCGCCCAGTCGGCCCCCATCACGGAGGTGCTCCAGCCGGCTGCTCTGAGGGGGATCGTCGGGGAACTCTTCCCCGACGCTCCAGCGGGATTTACTCCCCCCAGAATGGCCCGGCTGACTCTGGAAGAGGGCGACCGCGTTCCGCCCACCGTCACGGAGTCTGAAATGGAGGCGATTCTGGCTCGCCTCCAGAGTAAGAAGAGCGCACCGGGTCCGGATGGGGTGCACGGGAGAGTTCTCGCTCTCTCCCTGGTGCACCTCGGTGGAGCCCTCAAGGAGCTGTTCGACCTCTGTCTGAGGTCCGGGCAGTTCCCGAGGGCCTGGAAGGAAGGCCGGCTTTGCCTTCTTCCAAAAGGCAACCGGCCTCCGGACTCGGCTTCGGCGTGGCGACCGGTGGTTGTGCTGAACGAGGCGGGGAAGGCCCTGGAGAAAATAATGGCCACCCGTCTCGTTCGGCATCTGGAGGAAGGCTCGGGCCCGGGACTGTCAGAGTTCCAGTTCGGGTTCCGAGCCCATCGGTCGACCGTCGATGCTCTCAAACGCCTGAGGGCGGTGACGGAAGAGGCGGAACGCAGAGGAGAGGTAGTGGTTGCGGTGTCGTTGGACATCGCAAACGCGTTTAACAGCCTCCCACACAGCGCGATACAGGTGGCACTCGAGTATTTCGGAGTGCCCCTGTATCTGAGGAGGCTGATAAACAGCTACCTCTCCCAGAGGAGGGTGGCAGTCGAGAGCCGGAGGGGGTCCATAGAGTGGTGGACAGTCGAAAACGGCGTGCCACAGGGGTCGGTCCTGGGACCGGTCCTGTGGAACGTCGGATACGACTGGGTCCTGCGGAGTCGTCTCCTCCCCGGGATGGGTGTCATCTGCTACGCCGATGACACCCTCGTCTTATCCCGGGGACGAAACTACAGGGAGGCGGCGCGGCTGGCCGAGGTCGGAACTGACCTCGTGATCAGCCGCATAGAGAGGTTGGGGCTTCGGGTGAGAATAGACAAAACCGAAGCCCTCCTCTTCCGCGGGACTGGGCGGAAAGGACCCCCGCCGGGTGCCACCCTTCTCATAGGAGGAGGGAGGGTCAGGGTGAGTCCCACCATGAAATATCTGGGGCTCACTCTTGACGGAGGGTGGACCTTCGTGCCTCATTTCAAGGAACTGGGGCCGAAGGTCGTGAGGACGGCAGGTGCGCTGGGAAAATTCCTCCCGAACCTCGGAGGACCCAGCGCAGCTTGCAGGCGGCTATACTCTGGGGTCTGTCGGAGTATAGCCCTGTACGGTGCTCCCGTTTGGGCTGATCGCCCAATGAGCCGCAGGACCAAAGCCCTGCTGCGCTCTGCGCAAAGGGCTCCTGCGGTGAGGGTGATTAGGGGGTACCGTACGGTCTCCTGGGCCGCAGCGACTGCCCTTGCCGGCGATCCGCCTTGGGATCTCGTGGCGTCGGTTCGAGCCGAGTTGTTCTCCTATGTCTCGGGTAGGAGGGCACTCGGCGAGAACCCTTCGTCGGAGGAGATCCGAGCGGTTCGTCGGCAGGGGGAGGAGCGCCTTATGCGGGAGTGGGGGGAGGACCTGGCGGAGCAGCCGTACGGTAGACGTACAACGGCAGCGCTTCGCCCGGTCCTAGAGCGTTGGATGAGGCGGAAACGCAAACCCCTCACTTTCCGTCTGACGCAGGTCTTAACCGGGCACGGGTGCTTTGGTTACTACCTGTGTCGGACGGCCAGGAGAGAGCCGGGAGAAGGCTGCCATGAGTGCGGCGCTGCGGTGGACTCGGCCCAGCACACCCTCGAGGTGTGCCCGAGATGGGCTGCGCAGCGCCAAGACCTTGTGGCGGCTCTCGGCGGAGTGGACCTGTCGCTTTCGAGTGTCGTGGAGAAGATGCTCGAGAGTGATGGGTCCTGGTTGGCGGTGTCCTCCTTCTGTGAGACGGTCATGTCCACGAAGGAGGCATCTCAGCGGGAAAGGGAGAGGGCGGCTGATGCTCCCTCCCCCCGCAGGCGACGTACGGGGGTGCGACGGAGGCAATTCCTACGCCTCCAATAGCACCCCTGTGTTCCGGGCTGGGGTCGGCGTGGTAACCCGGCCCTTTTGAAAGCCCGGCGTCGTCGGGGTGGTCCTAATTGCCGGGATCGCCCCCATGCTCCGAGGGAGTAAGTCCGGTCTTTGCCAGGACCGGCCAGTCGCTGGTGTGCCCTGTCGCTGATAGATCCGGGGTACACCGACATAGCGGCCGATGGCTTTCGCAGTGGTTTTAGTGAGTAGGGGCCTGCCCAGGCCGAGCCTCACACATCCCTTCCGGCCCCACCAAGGTCGGTTGGACGGCTCGTAAAAAGAGTTTCCACTACGTCATCAAAAAAAAAAAAAAAAAAAAAAAAAAAAAAAAAAAAAAAAAAAAATTGTATAAAATACAGATATTATACTTACATAGATATATACATAAATATATACAAATATAATAAATACATAAACATTACATATTATATTAAGGTAAAAGTGACAGATGTCTCTTAAGTCGTCTCTTATTTTAGTATTGTACGCGCCTTAGCCGCCTCTCACATTTGCAGTCTCACTTTCTAGGTGTGCTGGAAGAAATATCTTTTTAGAAATAATCTTTTTGTACGCGAACAATAAACTATAAATAAATAAATAAGAATGACGTTAATTTCGAAACACCCCCCCCCTTCTATCCATCATTTACCGTCATCCGCAGACCAACCCCCCCCCCCTCCCTTATTTAGAATGACGTAATATATGGACGGCCCCTTACACAATGTGGGTATGGAGTTCAATGCAATTTTAAAACTTGGCATTAGTCAAATGTTTGTGTACGGGGGTATTAATAGGTACAATGAGATCTCCTCTGTTTGTGACAGAAAAAGATCTGGCCTTCCACGTAGTGCTCGTACGAAAAAGGTGGTCAAAGCAATAAGGGAAAGAAAAAATTCCTGTCCGAAAGCAAAAGATTTTATCTCGGGAGATGAAGTTAGCAACTAGAACCATGTCGCGTATTTTAAAAGATTACTTAGGACTTGCAGCCTCTAAGAGATGCACTGGACATTTTCTAAATGAAAATTTAATGAAAAGAATAGGGTGTTAAAATCTAAACAACTAATAAATCGGTACGCAAGGGGAGGTCACAGAAAAATTTTGTTTACGGATGAGACAATTTTTACAATTGAGCAACATTTTAACAAACAAAATGACCGTATTTATGCTCAAAGCTCTAAGGAATCTCCCAAGTAGTCGTCAAAATGCAACGTGGGGTTTATCCGACTTCAGTGATGGTTTTGTGGGGTGTTAACTATGACGGAGTGCCTGAGCCATACTTTTGTGAAAAAGGTATCTAACATCATCACAAGTGTATCAAAATACCATCCTTGAGAAGGTAGTTAAGCCCCTTAACAACACCAAGTTCAATAACCAACAATGGTCCTTCCAGCAAGACTCGGCGCCGGATCATAAAGCTCGGTCAATGCAGTCTTGGTTGGAAACGAATGTTTCCGACTTCATTAGAGCTGAACACTGGCCGTCGTGTAGTCTCGATTTTAATCCGCTGGATTATGCTTTATGGTTAAGTTTTAGAATGTAGGGCCATAATAATTTTGACTCCCTAAAACAATCCATACGATTAGCAGGGAAGAATTTTCCCATGGAAAGAGTGCGTGCATCTTGATAACTGGCCTCAACGTTTAAAGGACTGTATTGCAGCCACTGGAGACCACTTCGTATAAGCTTTTTATTTTTTAAATTGTTTTATACTTATATATTAAACTTACATACTCTAAAAGTAATAAATGTTATTTGCAATAGAAAAAATATTTTGTTTATTTGTAACAATATTTATGGCTAGACTATGTATAATAGATAAATCAGAATAAATCTATTTAATAATAAGTACATAGATTAACAAAATATTATATGAGATTTTTTGATCTTTTTTTGGAAGAGCAGGAAATTTGGGCAAATCATATACTCACCCCCATTCACGGAACAAATAAGCTTAAAGTCGCCCCCTTCGTTGAAAGGGCCGGCAGTTCCGGTTATTTCTTTACCGAACTCGTCAAAGATCACCGGTTTTGAGGGTAGCTCTGTGAAAGAATCATTAAGTTACGTTTGTTATGCTTACTCATTGTTATAATGAGGTATTGTCTAGGTTAGAATGAAATGATACTGTACAGAAAAATCATGAAAAATTTAAAAGAATTTGATAACTAAATTTTTTATGACAAATTCCTAAAAGTACCAAATGTATATATGTATGTACAGTATGTTATGTAAAAGAGGGCGTTCTCTTGAACTCTTTAATATATATCACTGATAGATTAAAAAGAAATATATCAGCAAATAAAAATAATCATAAATTAATCTGAATTAAAAAATAATTATATCACAATAAATTCGAAACATTCTGTGCAAAATCAAAATAGTAGCGCGGAATTGTAGGTAGGTATCTAACGTAGTAGCATTGCCCAAACTAGCAACGTTGCAATACGCACGATCCCTGTTGCCAGATGGGGCTATTTAGCGCCAATGGGGCTATCTCCCTTACCAAGCGGCGATATTATTTTATCCGCTGGCTACAGGTTGCTGATTTGGCAATTTTTTTTTTTACAGTAATATTTAATTAACAAATCATTTTTATGCAGAAAAAAAAGAATTTCAACACCAACTCTCAGTTTCAATAAGTTTTATATACATATATGTATGTGAATGGATTTTAAAACGTTAACTGTCTCGCAATATACAACATGTAACATAATTAACGCACACCCTCAAACACCCCAATTAGAATATAATAATATAAACGCAATGCATACACCAAACATTATTTATATGTGCGTTAGCATTGTTTATTTCTGAAAATAGTTATCCCAATTTTGTACAAATAATATAGTCAGCTATTCACCAACACTCCGCTGTACACCCACACACAGACAGACACAATGTACTCGCCGCGCCCGCGCCCCTCCCTCCGAGTGCCGTCCGATCCGACAATAATAAGTTGTAGATAATAATAGGTACACGAAATAACTACATTATGATTTATGATTCTTTTTTCCCATCACACTTTTCAGGCTTTGGATTGTCGACATTGAATTTTCTTTTTAATGTGAAGCCAATATTTTATAATTACTGATTTGTTAAATAAAATTTGAAAATGAGAATTATTAAACAGCTGATAACGAGTGATTTCATTAGACACCACAATACGTATGACAAAGTTAAACACAGTCGGCGTGGTTAAATGGTGTGAATCAAAATATTAACAATAATTTAAAGATCATAAACAAACTTACAGTTTAATTTGCACTCGCATAGCGTTGTCGTTTTAAAACATTTTCAAATGTCCACCGCCTTGTTCAATGCACTTTAATGACCGTTTTCGCAATTGTGGTTTCATTTTAGATAATACTGCAGTGTTACTTTTCACTTTTACAAAGGCGGTTATTATCTTATTTTTTAGTTCCTCGGCACTTGTTGTTTCTGTGTTATAAACTAGCAATTTAATTCGCCCCACAAAAAAAGTCGAGTGGCGTCAAATCAGCTGATCTAGGAGGCCACTGAACTGTAGTGTTGCTGTGTGGCGGCTGTCGCTGTGGTGTTGCGTGCGTAGATATTTGTAAAATACTATTTTAGCCTTGAAACAAGAATCAGTTTTCTTTAATTGAATGATGTGCATGATTACTAATTTAATATTTCATTTTAAAAATCTTAATAACCTGATTTACGATCCATTTTTGTTTCTATGAAGTGTTTAGATAACTGTGTGTATGATGACTGTAATTTATTTAGTTCTATCTAAATTTGAGAAAAAAAATGACCTACATAAAAAACTATCAAAATCGATCTAGATTCCGATCCTGAACAAATTACTTTCTGGGTGTGTGTTAATTATGTTACATGTTGAACATGTAGGTATATATAATTTATCCTATTTTAGTATGTTAAAATTTTTTAACTCAGTTCTATCAAAGGTTTATCTGTAAAAAATATGCAATATTTAAAAAATATTTATTATATAGTACTTATTCAGATAATATTTTATAAAATTTAATTATTTAATAATACTTTTTAAAACAAAGTGCAATCAATAAAAATAAGAATCTTGACCATTTGTACTTCAATAATTGAATTTATTTCTATTTGAAATAAATTACTGTTAAATAATAGAACGAATTTAATGAATATAAAACCAATAATAAGCTCATGAATTTATTTCAACTTTCCCGCCTTAACTACCTTTGAGCCATGATGGAGCTATATCGGGGCTACACGCGCGCTCCATCGGGGCGATTCGAAAAAAAAATATTCTGGTAACACTGCGCACGATGCCGAGCGGCAACTTTTAAAATGGCGGCATATTGAATTATAAAGACACGTAGTGGGATTGAAGAATAAACATTTGAAATGTATGTTTAGTTTTAGCAATAACACTTAACCCGTGTCAAATGTATCGCTGACAAAGGAACGTGTCACTGAGGTACCTATTAGCAAACAGTAAATAAAAAAAAAACCTAAATTCATATACGTACATACATATCTAAGCCAAGTTAACCGGCGCTCGTAGTCAGCTGTACTAAGCAGAGCTTGCACTTTTTGAAATGAGTACGGAAGCTGCTTATTTTTCTTTAAAATTTTAAAGACTGCGACGTGACTCATATTGAATAGGCGGCTGGCTATTCTAGTGCTTGAACCGGGCTCCTCCTCAAAATGCCTTAGCACGTTCTCTTCCTGCCGCACTGGAATCACGGGTCGCGGGCACTACCGGCTTATTGTTACGTATACGCACCAGGGCACTCACAATTACACGAGAATTCCACGGTTGGTGTGCATTAGTGTACCTGTCAGCATACATCCTCAAAGCACGTGCGCCATCATAATTACACTCAGCATAAATGAGCACCATGTCCACATACTCCTGCGCACTGAACTGATAACGCGGCATCTTTCACACGAAAATGACGCAAGATGTCGCAATGCGAAAACAAAGGACGTCCGATCCCGGTCAGCGCGTGAGATTACTACCGAAGTACCGAATAAAATTATGCGAAGTTCGGGGGTAGGGGGTGGGGCGGAACTTAAAAATCGCAATTCGTAGAACAAACGATCGCCGCGTAAGCGGCCTGTCATTCATAAATAAATAGAGACGATGCAGTTCTTCAAGTATGCGTGTAATGAGTATTTCTTTACATTTCAATTTAACACTTTTATTGTTTTGGTTTAATAAAAAAAATAAAAAATATTTTGTTTTCTATTGGTAATATTTTTTTTATGTAAGTATGGATGCTCTGTTAGTGAATATACTGTATATATGACTACTTAAAATCCTAAAATCTTTACGGAAAATAAGTTAACTATCTATTCACCTCAAATCGTTCATAACACCTTTTTTTGTTAGGAATCAACTTGGGCTTTAAATAACGATAAAATGAAATTAAAAGCTCTCTGTCATACTACAGAATAAGGAAGAAAGTTTTTCAAGCTCTATATCAATATAAAGATGGAGACTTTCCTTCATTTCATTTTTGTTATGATTTATAATGTATTTAAAAGATAATATGATAAATATTCCTAATCTACGTATGTAGATTTATGATGTAAGAGATATATTTACTTGAATTTGACCTTGGCAAATAATGAGTTAATAACACATAATTTATATATATTACATACTTATAATTTTTCATTCATAAATTAAAATATTTATTTATTTATCCTCATTATCATTTTTATATTAAAATTACTAGATACCCACCCCAGCTTCGCAGGCGTACTTTACAGAAAATATAAAATAACCTATGTTGCGTATAATGGTTTAGTACTTGTTGAGTTAAATGAAGACAAACAAAAATTTCATCATCCTTCTTCGTTAAACATAAAATAAGTTTGAACTTAGAAAAATTTTTAGGTTAATAATCGTTTTTTACTAAAATAAAATTACAAAAAAATTATGTGATCTTGTGAAAAAGTAAACTATCGCGTGATGTTAATTTTGAGAACTATTAAACTTATGATAACTTTCAAACGGTACGTCCGAATTAAATAATTCAAAAAGTAATTTACAGATACTGATATAGGTTTGAACACGAAGTAATTTATTAGATTTAATATTGTAATTATGAACATGGCTTTCCTATAAACGCTTTATGACTACAGACAGACAGACAGACTCTGCGGGGATGTTATTTTATATATATACTAGTAAACCCGGCGAACTCCGTTTCGCCACCAGAAGGCTTTTCTATAACATTTCGTTTGGTGATTAAAAGATGAAGAATTTTTTTGTGTTTTATATTTGAAAAGGAAAATTTTTATTTCATTTCACAACAGTAATGAATTCATTTCGATTACAAAAATGAAGTGTTATTTAGTTGAACTTCTCTAAGTAAATGAAAGTGAATCCAAAGTAGATACCGAATCGAAGCGTTATACGTGTCCGCAAATTATCCGTTTTATTGAAAGGGTCCTTTGTAAACCACATTTTTTGTTCTTTGGTCTAATTTTAACACAGATAAAGCCGATGGTTTCCAAACTCATGAACACGCAAAATATAACGCCCATGTGAAAAACAATGATTTTCTAAATTTATCCCGCAACTACTAAATGGTTTTAAGAGTTCAAACTACAAACACAATACCGGTTTGTCACACGAAATTAACTGAGCAGAGAACAATGAGTAGCTGTCAAAGAATGTATCATGCACTGGCGCCATTTACTTAAAATATTAATTTGTAGTACATGTTATGTATGATGGCGCTGTATGTGAAAAAAGTTTTTCCCGCTTTTCTGTTGAAATTTTTTGTCATAAACCTCACGGAGCCCGAGACCTTACCAACGAATGCAAAACCGTGGAAATTGGTTCGCTCGTTCTGAAGTTAGGATGGAAAACCGGACTTATTTTTCTCTTACAATATAATATCTAATTGTCATCATTACGTCATTACATATCTGTCATTATACGTCAATTGCATAGCTGTCAATTGTGTTCCGTTATTCCACGTTTTATAGTGACTGACGTTTCATGTCATGTCCCACGGGAATGCTGTCGAACGGGATAAAAAGTATCCTATTGCAATTTCCATGCTCT